GATGACCTGTGATTCAAGCCTCACATCCACGCCCACTTCCCCTGGCTCAGCACTGAATTTACAATCCAGGTATTCCGTCTTCATCCTGCTCAACTTGAAACCCTTAGACTTAAGAGCCTGTCTCCAAACCTCTATCCTCTCGTTAACAAAGGCTCGCGACTCATCAATCAAAACTATGTCATCGGCGAATAGCATGCACCATGGCACCTCCCCTTGAATATGGTGTGTTAATGTGTCGATCACGAGAGCGAATAAGAATGGACTGAGCACAGAACCTTGGTGTAACCCCATTACAACCGGAAAATGCTCAGGGTCGCCTCCTACTGTCCTAACCCGAGTCTTAGACCTATCATACATATCCATAATTGCCATAATGTAGGGAACCGATACACCTTTTGCCTCCAGGCATCTCCAGAGAACTTCTCTAGGAATCTTGTCATACGCTTTCTCTAGGTCAATAAAGACTATGTGCAGATCCTTCTTCCTCTCTCTATACAGTTCCACCAACCTCCTAACAAGGTGTATAGCTTCTGTAGTCGAACGACCCGGCATGAACCCGAACTAGTTGTCGGATACAGACACTGTCATCCTTACCCTCACTTCAACCACCCTCTCCCACACTTTCATAGTATGACTCAGTAATTTGATACCCCTATAATTGTTACAACTCTGGATATCACCTATGTTCTTATACAATGGGACCACCGTACTCCACCTCCACTCATCCGGCATCCTTTTCGCCTTAAAAATAACATTAAACAACCTAGTCAACCACTCCAAACCTGATCTCCCCACACACTTCCAAAATTCCACCGGAATCTCGTCCGGCCCAGTCGCTCTGCCCCTACTCATCTTACGCATAGCTCCCACGACCTCATCAACCTTGATACGCCTGCAGTACCCAAAGTCACGGTGACTCTCGAAATGCTCCAATTCGCCTAACACAATATCCCGATCCCCTTCTTCATTCAGAAGTTTATGAAAGTAAGTCTTCCATCTCCTCTTAATCTGGGCATCTTCCATTAATACTCTACCATCTTGGTCCTTGATGCATCTCACTTGGTCCAAATCCCGAGCCTTCCTCTCTCTCAACTTGGCCAGCCGGAATAACTTCTTCTCCCCGCCTTTTTTCCCCAGTTCCTCGTATATATGACCATATGCCGTAGTCTTAGCCTCTATGACCGCCAGCTTAGCCTCTTTCCTAGCTGTCTTATACCTCTCCATGCATGCTCGCCTCTCCTCTTCATCTATGCTCCCCACTAACTTCAGATACGCCACCTTCTTGGCTTCCACTTTACCTTGAACCACTTCATTCCACCACCAGTCTCTTTTGTGCCCACCGGAGACGCCCGTCAAGACTCCTAACACCTCTCTCGCAACCTCCCTAATACAGTCTGCTATCGCTGACCACATAGTGCTCGCGTCACAATTGCTCCTCCAAGCTCCTATAGCCGACAACTGCCCCTTCAACTCTTGGGCTTTATCCTTAGTTAAGGCTCCCCACCTGATTCTCGGACTTCCTCGAGTAGACCTTTTCCTCATCTTTAACATAATACCAACGTCCATCACCAATAGACTATGTTGCATCGCAAGTATCTCACCCAGAATCACCTTGCAATCCTTGCACATTCCTCTGTCACCTCTCCTGGGGAGAAGATAGTCAATCTGTGTCTTCGCCACCGCATTTTGAAAAGTAACCNAAATGCCTCTCCCTCTTTGGAAAGCTAGAGTTCACAATCACCAACCCAAAAGCCTTAGCGAAGTCCAACAACGATGTACCTCCTCCGTTCCTCTCCCCAAAATCGAAGCCTCCATGAACCTCGCCATAACCACCTGCAGTCGACCCAATATGCCCATTGAAATCCCCTCCTATGAATAGCTTCTCAGTAGGCGGAACCTGACGCACAATCTCATTTAACCCCTCCCAGAAGCGTCGTTTAAACTCCTCATCTAGGCCCACATGCGGCGCATAGGCGCTAACGACATTTAGGGTGCACTTTCCAACCACCAACTTAATAATCATCAATCTATCATTCACTCGTCTAACCTCGACCACAAACTC